CTTAATAGCTGGAAAACACGGATTAAAAGCCAGTAATGTTTCAGATGGAAACCATAACAATTACAACCATATTCATCAGTCCTATGTGACAAATCCTTTTTGTTAACGGTTTTATGAAGCCGTCAGGTTTTCCATTAGAATAATTTCTTACCCAGTTCAACATTATGGTCTGACAGTTATCAGAAACCTGGGCTTGTCAAGGAAGTCTTTTTAAAATAGGCCTTCTTGGAGAGGATGCATTTCGCAAAGGCATCAGAGTAAACCGTAAGTGTGAATGGTAAAAAGCTTAAGGCACAGTTAAAAACCTGATTACAGTGCAGTTGACGAGAAACTCGGGCGCTGCTGTGACACACAACAGTTTAAGAGAATAACTAGAATTATGACTGATAGCATTTTACCAGGAAATACCAGATTTTTAAAAGAATTCCATGTAATTTCTAGAATACGTATGTTAGCTATTTTCCCTACTATAACCTGAGGAGATGACTTGTTTGACAATACTTCCCATGCAAGTTAACATACCAGGTGAACCTAGTCAGTTTCCTATCTCTTTTGGGGATGTTTCAAGGGCCCTTTGAAGCACCCCAAAGTTAGCCAGAGGTCAGAGAAGCTTCATTAAAATTTGACTTGGGAAGTTTGTCAAAAAACACCAAAAAGATTTTAAAAAGACTTGGTCGGATAAGCTCATAGGTCACTGTGAGACAGTATGTGTTCCCTTAGCCAACGTGATATTAAGACACTTCAAAGACAGATATGGAAGGTTATAACAGACTTAATGATTAAAGATAAAAGAAACTTTATACTCTGCTATCAAAAATAGATCAACATTTTGAGAAAAATTTGTCCTCTTCACAGAGAGAAAAACTAAATTCGAGTTTTGCACCAGCTTACTTTCCGCAGCCAAATACATTTACTTATTCGAGTTAAATCTAAATCCAGCCAATCCCGATCACGCCCACCGCTCTCTTCTTAGGGTCCCTTCCCACAAGCCTCCCGTCAGTTTCTGCGTCCACGTTAGTCTGCCCCTTGTTTCTCTCCATCCAGAAACAGCCAGCTCTAGGGAAAACCCACTTGGGTCTCCCGTAACAGAATCCCGTTCCTCACGCCTTCTTCACTGAGGCGCACAGCCCTCCTTTTCTGCTGGATGCTGAAACGTTGCCTTAGTTTTTCCTAGCAGCTTTAATTAAATTTTTAATATAGAATCCTCAACTCTTACAAATCTCAGTTTCTAACGAAGGCTA